ACAAATCAGATTAACTCTACTTGCATGTATGTCAGTAGGTTCAGATTACGGAAAGTGTTTTGTGGAATAGACTTCAAGCTGTTCCTTGATAGATCTCTGAAAAGAAAACACAGTATTTTTAGTTAAATGTTTGAATTCAAATGGAATCTTTTGGTCTCTAGGACTGTACTGATTGGGTCGTTTGAAATAGGCGTTTGTGCTTTGTATGTGGTTACGGTTTCAAGTATTTTTGTCATGACGTCATTTTATGTTTTCTAACAGAATATGAATCTTATTTCAATTCTCTAGTTAATGATCATCCAACATGGCGGCCATGACATTAGTTGAAAACGACCTATGGACAAAGAGAACTAGGAGGGTAGATTTTAAAACACAGCAACAAGGCTTGCGTTCGTCAGACCATTTTAATCTCACTGAATGTACTATACATAAAAAGGTTCAGTAAAGTTCAGTAAAGTTAGTTTTTATTCATAGTTAGTCCATGCTCGATCCCCGCCGATATCTCGAGTCTGGTCCGATCTTTCCCGAACAGCAGCTAGTAATTAAATCACGCGTTTCTTGTGAATTGTGCTGAGTCGGAGCTATTACTTTCACTGCAAAAATAAGATCTGCTAGCTTATGTTTCCATTAAGCTAATCAACTTACATGGCCTTAAGTAATGTTAGATTTCTAAAGGCGTCTTCTTCTATCGACTTCAAATGATTTGCCGAGAGATTTCTGAAAGAGAACCATGGCAGCACCAGAAAAGTTTAGAAGACTCATAATGTGAGTGGCCAACAGATGTTCTCTCTTGACCAGTGTACCTTTATCGTAACCAGAGAACTAAACGAAGGAGATGGAGGAAGGACATAGATATATGACTAGACGTATTATACCACCGTGACCAAACAGTATCGAAAAGAAAGAAAGGGATTATCTGTTTTGATTGTTGCATTATTACTTTACTTGACAATATATAATTTAGGGAACAGGCAATATTTGGGAGTGTTGTGGAGCCATATAGCAAAAACATTAAGTGGATAAATATTAAAACTTCCCATGCAATTGACTACGAATACAACTGAGGACATTTTAATCATTTCTCGTAATTAGACTCATCTGAGGAGGGTTCTGGATATTAAAGATTGAAGTGTGTGGTAAGTTTCAAGTTTCAAGTTTATTATTGTACACTATTTACAAAAAACAACTTTTAAACATAAAATGGTTTACAACGAGACATAAAAAAAACTTATAAATAGAGGTTAACTAGAAGAAAAAATATTTAGTTGTGTACAGTGACCAAAGTAGCCAATGAGCTTTCGAGTATATTCAAAGGGTTATAAATGTTATTTCGCCTCACTTACAACTGTGCCGTATTGGACGGTAAATCACGTGGCACTTGCTTAATCCCTGTACACGTTACAATGATCCGGGTTTGGCCAAAAGGCTTGCAGGTACATTTCCCCGGATGAGCATCTTCCAAACAGCACAAACCAAACGTCACAAACCAACCCACCAACACGAACTGTGTCAGAATAACAACATGCCTTACAGGCTGGGCTAGAACTGCTTTTCCCATCTCCTGAGAGAAAGCATAAATGCATTTTCTGAATTATGTCCACGTTCGAACCAATTCTTTTGTTTACGCTAAACCCTATAACAATAAAATGTTAACAGCAGGAAAGCAGAGCACAAATGCAAAATTTCACGCTATAGAGGGTCATAGATTCATGGTATTCGACCATTAAATAAGTTGACAGTTGGCGATGTACATCGGACGTTGTGTAAACAATAGCAAACTTCTGCTTTATGTGCAACGAATGGTGACAGAAACACTTCAAATCGGCTTTTGGACCTGCCTTTTACATCAAATAAGGTTAGAACATTTCAAAATTATCAGCTCTGTGTCTATTTCAACTTAATACAGCTCAAGACATGTGGCGCGTGCTTAAGTATATGTCTAACACGTAAATTGAAATTTGACGACGCATGGTCAAATATCTGCATTTTTAACGTACTTTGAAAAGCTCTCACGTCGCTCACAATCATTTGCCCAAAG